AAAAAAGCACTCTCGCACAAATGTTTAAGACAATTTTCTCTCCCCTCCCCCGCCAAAAATATTGAAAAATCTAGAGAACGAGAGCAAGGAAATTAATTTGAGACGTGATGGTTGAGATCACTACACTAGACGGTGTACCTATCGTCATCAAAGACACTTAAAATAATCCACAACTTGTCGTAAAACATGCGTCATACGTGTAAAGAGAAAGATTTCATTGTTCGTGAATAAAGAAAATCCACTAAGCAGCATATAGACGCTGAGAAATAAGACCAACCAATAGATCGGTAACGTAACATAATGCATAACTTGTCGTAAAACATGCATCATGCGCGTAACGAGAAAGATTTCACTGTTCGTTAACAAAGAAAATCCAATGAATAGTTTAAAGACGTTGGGAAATAAGACCGACCAACAGATCGGTTGTTAACAGAAAAAGATGCAAGAGTTTGCACGGTGTATGGAGGAAGTTTCTTTGACAGTGGGATCGAGGATGATAGAATTTGCTAGAAATACCGTTTATGAGGGTAATATGTCGACCATCTTCGACATAAATTGCTTGTTGTAGGGTTTCGGTGGTGTCACAGTAAAACTTACCTTTTTCCCCTCCCCATAAGTATCTCTAGTTTTCCAGTGATCCCCCCTCATTGGCCCTTGATATAGACAACAGAATTTGAAGTATAAACGTTTTACTTTGAGTAAGCCGGCAAGTTCCTTTCATAACTTTGCGACCATTGAGCTTGTTCAAATGAAATTTTAGCTTTAAATATATGTTTTTGCATTATGAATAATTCAACCGATCAGAAAACTATAGCCGGCGTAGTCAGGCTCCTAAAGGAAGGAAGATAGGAGGGGGGAGGGGGTAAAGTAAAGTGAAAAAAACACCTATCCAAATCTTGGTATTTTTCGACCAACTAAGTCAGCCATGAAAATTGAAGTTTAAGAGTTCAAGCTGGCGATTTTACCTGGTCAAGGGCTAAATTGCATTGGTGTCACTATCCGAATCCCATTAAACTGTTGAAATTTAAATTTTAGTCACAGATGTAAGATCTCAGCATGCGGAATGTATTCAATCATTAATTAGGGTGTCTCTTTTGTGTCGTTGCTGTTTCTCGTCGTCTATTCGTCTTCTGTTTTTTTTTCCATATCACATACTTTCGTTCATTATTGTTTCTTTCGCAATTATTGGCGTCAATTACATTTTCAGTTAGTCGTTTTCGCACGCATTAATTTTTAGTTTTTCGTGCGTATATAAACTTAGTTTTCTCTGTTCAGGGCCCTTTTTTTTTTCGGTAGTCGCGCTAGTCGCAGTTCGCTTCCAAGCGGTTCCTATATTCTTCATTTCGTCTTCGGACAGTGTTTTTTCGTCAAGTGCAGTTTTGCAGTAGTCGTAACAATGTAAGTAATGTCGTTTCAAGTTGGCTCAGTGTATTTCTTTCTTATCACCTTTACTTAATCAATTGTTGTAATTTTGTATTCATTTATTATTTTTAAGTTTCAACCCACATCGTTCACCGTCAATAAATCGCCTATTTTATCAGTAATTGTGGTGTTGAGAAGTTACGATTGCCGCGGTCACAACAGATACCTAGTTATTTTAAAATATTTGAATCAATCTTGCAATAAAATAAGTTTTGGACTTTTTTTTTCTCTCCAGGACGAGTAGGTTCATGCGAAAATTAAAGCCGCTGCTTGGTCGGAGCTGTTTTCTTCGAAATTGCATTTATACTTTCTGTGCAGTAGCATAGAAGTTGAACATACACGTCCAATATAGTTGTAGAAATCAAATTGGTGTTAATTACATCAAAAGATAGAGCAAAAGCGACTTAAGTTCTTGCCTGGTTTCATCTTTACTTTGGGTAATAACACGGGAGATATTTCCCCATTTGCCGATTCTCCACGTAGATTATCTCAAACAATCACGAACAAAGTTAGGACGTAGTACCCTATAATCTCGTTTCATTTCTTGTCTGATTAATGAGCAAACAAAATTGTTTTTGTATTAAGGAAGCTGCCATTGATATGGTGGGTGTTTGAAATCTTGTTTTAGCGACACTCTGAAATGTTTAACCACATTTCCTTGATCACGATGATCACATCGTAAAACGAAATTGGACAAAACAATTTATCATTATTAATTGTGATCGGAAATGATGGATATGAAGGAATTATTATAACTCACTAAGCAATCATTTTATTCTTTTTAAGCAACCTTTGATAAAAGAATTTCTGACTAGCGTTTACGTGTTAGAAAAACAAACACGAAATACCTTTTGAATGACAAATATGCATTTTTCTTTTGTTTAAGTTCATGGTTGTATGTTACATTTACATTACTAAGTAAACAGGGACAGTTCGAAAGTAAAAAATAATTAAGTTGGTAAAAATTTTATGCAGAGTTAAGGCGAGAGTCTGTTGTGCATCACAACTACTTTTTTTTCTTGACATTTAATGTTCAATTTTGATAGGAATAAATTACGGTCAAGACTTCTGTGATAGTATTACTATTTCACAACAAGAGGAAGTTATACGTTAAGATTCGGAAAAACCAGAAATTCTGAAATGAGTTCTGTAAGAACAGGTGATGGTTAATTTTACCTAGACGCTGACTTACTCTTGGTTTACTAGTAATAATTACATCTCTAAAATTCATAAGCATTATGGACATTTCTTGAATAACAAAAAAAATTTCAGTTTAATTTAAGTTTATAACTGGCTTCGAGACTTGACTCGTACTGATGACAATATGGCGTTAACGTCAAGCGCACTCACTTAGAAAGGAAAATAATTGAAATTGTTTTACCGTCAAGAAAAAGATAACTCCAACAGCTCTTAGTGCTTTTTATCCCATAATTTAGTGTAAGACAAGACGGTAGAATAAAACTAACATCTGGTTCCTTTCTATACTGTACGTATTTTTTTCTTTAACTATGTGCTGTTGTATTCAGGGTAGGTGTCATCGTTAGGAAAATAGACCTGCGATATGGTGATAGTGTTTAGAATTAATGTCTTCTGTAAAGAATACCAACGACAGCTGGCGCGACGATTTCATTAGGTCCCTTTTTTCTTTCTAACGATATCTATCCTATGAGCTTCCTGTAGAAAACCGGTGACTTTCAAAGTCAGCTTTTTTAAAAATTATTTACGATTTTAACTCCAGCTGGATTTAGCTTCATGGACGGCAAAGTGCTTGCCTGATTGTCCGCTTTACTGCTTGCCTTACTTCACTGATCTTCCAGCAGTAAAGACACGGATTCAACGTCGAGTTAAAGTAGACTAAGACAATTGTTATTTCCCTAAAGACCCGTAAGTGCGATGAATATGTTTTACTGAGCACAATTTCCACTATACCATATGGTGTATAACAAACAACTAATGCTAGTTGAACCCAAAGTGCACTGTACACTGCCTTTCTGTATCGCGCCACGTTCAGTGCACTTGGTTGGCTCGGCTGTTGTTGAGAATGATCTTGTACTTGAGCCTGATGGTGCCTGAGAGCGCTAAAGATTTTTGAGTATGAGGTGATTGAGATAACAAGGCAAATTAGTATAACTATAACGTGAAAAAAGGTTACATTGTAATTAAAAATGGTGCCTAAAGAAGCAACAAGACTTAAAACCCAAAAGTTAACTAAAACAATATATGTGCGCTTCAAAGTTACGATTTGTCTGTATCTAAGCCCCAACAACATGGCGAGCAGTCTGTCCACGCTTATGGCTGTCATCGTCAATAAAGACACTCCACATAACATATGGCTTGTGATGATGTCCGCGTCATTTATGTATTGGAAAATTCTCCAGTCTTCGAGAGACCAGGAATGCGAAAAGCTCAGGGTAGCATGGAGAGGCTGGGCAACAAGGCCAACCGACAGATCAGTTGTTGCCAAACAACGATACAAGAGTTTGGACGGTGGATGGAGGGAAGATTCCTTGTGAAGGGAAACAAGGATCAGATAGTTCCCAAGAAATGCTGTCACGGAAAAGAAAATGTGCACCGCTGTGAAGGAAATTGATTGTCAATGCAACTCACGTACCAATTAGTTTTATAAAGCCGATTCTCATAAATTGTGTTTTACCTCCTATTAAGTTTGTTGTCACCATCACTTCGTAGCTCAAAAAATTGTTGATTTTCTTTCTCCCGTATGTTACCTGTTATAGCGACGAGAGATATTTCGTCTCAACAGAAACTGCACAGCCCTAAGCACTTAAATTGTACTTCCAATTAGAATCTCCCCAGAAACTTCCTCAGATAGGTTTGCTTTCTTTTAATGTGCATACAAACTTGATTATTTTTTACTCTCGAACTGTCTCCGTTTACTTAGTAATGTAAATATAAGTTGCAACCACGAACTAAAAAAACAAATTTCATATTTGTCATTCAAAAGGCATTTCGTGGGCGTATTTTTAACGAGTAAACGCCTATGAGAAAGTCTTTTAATAAGGGTTTCTTATAAAATAAGAATCAAATGATTGCTCAGCGAGTTTCAATAATTCCTTCATATCCATCATTTTCGATCGCAATTAATGATGATAAATTGTTTTGTTCACTTTCGTGTTAAGATGTGACCATCGTGATCAAGGGAGTGTGGTTAAACACTTCAGAAAAAACGCTAAAGCCGAACATAACTTAGTTGCTCGCGTTTTCCCGCGCTTCAGACAGTTTGCTCCTTTCTGATATGGGTTGTCATAGGCTCCTCGTTGTATTATCTTTCGCTCTGATTGTCAGTTATGATTAGCCTGGATGTGGTATCGAAAATCATCACTCCTGCTCCTTGGGGACGCATAATCGTTGCGGTAGTAGTAGTAGTTATAACTAAGGTCGAAGCGAGAAGTTCGTCTTTAACCTGGTGAATATATTTAAGATCGAACCTCATGAGCTGATATCAACATCATTCCTACCCCGTCCCATCTCCATGCGTTTGATATCTTTTTCTTAAACTCAACCATTTCAGCTTGTTTAATAACACAAGTGGCAACGGACGTGCTGGACAGTCCTATGCGATGCTTTCTATCCAGGTTTGACAAATAGCGATTTCATTGTTTAAAGGATAAAATCACTTCTAACTTTTTAAAATTGCCGCAGTTGAATTGAATATATACTTTTACTACGACTATTAATTTGAGGGTTAAATTAGGGCCCTTCACTTTTTTTCCATTTCCTTTTGTAATATAATCACTAATAATTTTTGTACAGCAAATCATCATCCCACATAAAGAAACCCATAGGCTGAACTGGAAGTCACCAGATGGGAAGACTATTAATCAGATCGGCCATGTCTTGGTGAATGGACGCGTGAGAACATCGATCTTGGACACGAGAGTGATCAGAGGAGAAGATGTACATAGTGACCACTACTTGATGAGAACCAGAATAAGTCTAAAGTTGGCAGTGGTGCATGGGAAGGAGAAAGCAAAGATAAGGTTTGACGTATGTAAGCTGCGAAGTGAAGGGATCAGGAAGAGGTATTACATTAAAGTGAAGAACGGGTTTGAAGCGCCAGGAGATACAATAGATCCAGAAGAAGAGCACGACAAGACCTTGGCTACGTACAGAGATGCCGCAGAGAAAGTTATTGGAATTTCAAAAAAGCACAGCAAGCCATGGATAGGAGACAAAACGTGGAAAAAAATTCAAGAGAGGAAAGAGGTAAAACTGAAAATAGAGGGTGCGTGATAGGAACGACTGTAACGCCGATAGAGAGAGGCGTATAGTGCAAAAGTTAAGGCAGTGAAATGGAGCGCTAGGGAGGATAAGAGGAATTGGTTGAAGGAGAGAGCTGCAGCAGAAGAAAAGGCCGCTGAGAAGGAAGGTGAAGGAAGAATGTGTGAAAGACAAGGGAGTGCTCAAGACAGAATCACAAGAAAGATTGCAGAGTTGGTTTCTTCCAGATTTTGGAGGAAGACAAAGCGACGAATGGAGAAAGACGAGCTCGATGAAGACAACTCGAGTCGAGAAGTAGATGATTTCATCGCCGCCCAAAGGTCGAGTGGAAAAAGTTTGACAGGTTTTGCGAACAGCAGGTCGATGGATATTTTAATGAAATGAACATACCTGCTGCTGCTCTCGACAATCTCCTTAACAATTTTGTTAAAAATGTCCGCAAGAAGAATAGCGGCGGAGAAAGAACCAGACAGTATTTCAAGCTTCCAAATAAGAATACTCGAGTTATCTTACTCTTGTTCGTCTTTCTCTGTTTGCCCTTCGTCTTTCTCCAAAAGCCTTACAAAGTAGGTTCGGCTCCCAAACGATGCCACATCCTCCTTTCTTTCCGTCAACAAATATTACTTATTGAGCTGAGCCCAATAAGCTTTTCTTTGTTTAACTGTTTATAAGGTTGTATAGTTCCCCTACTTCATCAAACAGTCTCCTAGAGTTTTTTGCTAAAGTCTGTCTTTCTTCATTGTTGTTTTCCACTTGCCTCGGATTGTGGAGTTGCTCTATTTCATTAGAAGGGATTCTCGATTCTTCTTCTAAATTTTGATTTCCATCAGTAAAACTTGCTCCTTCTCTTCTTCAACTTTGCGGTCCTCTTTCTTCTTTATAAAGTGACTCCTTTCCTATTCTTTCAACTTTCCTCTATTTCTTTTTCTGTATTCTTGTTGATACTTTCTGCGTTTCTCTCGCCCCTCCCTGCTCTCTCTATATTGTTTGGCTTCTTTCGCAATATCTCACGGTTCCTTGTTCTGTATTCGCCTTGTAACTTTCTCCCTTTTTCCTTATCCATTTCTTGTCTGCTTGTACATTTTTTTTATTATTCCAAGACGCTCGAATGAACCAATTTTGGCGTAAGAAACTTTTGTCAATTTTTTTGACCATCCGGCGCTATTCGTGTGCAATACACGTCTTAGAACGCTACCTACGGAATTTTTATTTTAATGTGTTCATTGTACCATGACGCTCGAATCAACTGATTTTGGCCTAAGAAAATTATGTCAATGATTTGGACCATCGCTACTCATGTACAATACAAGTCTTTGAACGCTACCTACGGAATCTTTATTTAATTGTGTTTATTCTTCCAAGACCCTCGAATCAACTAATTTTGGTGTAAGACAATTATGTCAATGTTCGAGACCATCGCTACTTGTGTACGATACAAATCTTTGAACGCTACCAGCGAAATCTTTATATAACTGTGTATATTGTTCCAAGACCCTCGAATCAACCGATTTTGGTGTAAGATAATCATGTCAATGTTTTGGACCATCGCTACTCATGTACAATTCAAGTCTTTCAACGCTACCTACAGAATCTTTACTTAATTGTATTAATTGCTCCAAGACGCTGAAATCGACCGATTTTGCGTAAGAAAATTTTGTTGACGTGTTAGACTATCTGGCGCTACTAGTGTGCGATACAAGTCTTTGAACGCTACCTACGGAATTTTTGTTTTATTGTGTTTCTTGTACCATGACGCTAGAATCAACCAGTACTCATGTACAATTCAAGTCTTTGAACGCTACCTACGGAATCTTTATTTGATGGTGTTAATTACTCGAAGACGCTAAAATCGACCGATTTTGGCGTAAGAAAATTTTGTTGATGTTTTAGACTAATCCGGCGCTACTCATGTGAAATACAAGTCTTTGAACGCTACCTACAGAATCTTTCTTTGTGTTTATTTTTCGAAGACAATCGAATCAACCGATTTTGGCGTAAGAAAACTATGTCAATGATTTAGACCATCGCTACTCATTTACAATACAGGTTTTTAAACGCTACCTACAGAATCTTTACCTAATTGTATTAATTGCTCGAAAATCGACCGATTTTGGCGTAAGAAAATTTTGTTGACGTTTTAGACTATCTGGCGCTACTAGTGTGCAATACACGTCTTCGAACGTTACCCACGGAATTTTTATTTTATTGTGTTTCTTGTACCATGACGCTCGAATCAACCGATTTTGGCGTAAGAAAATTATGTCAATGATTTAGACCAAAGGTATTCATGTAAATACAAGTCTTTGAACGATACTTACGGAATCTTTATTTAATTGTGTTTATTGTTCCAAGACCCTCGAATCAACCGATTTTTGGCGCAAGAAAATTATTTCGATGTTTTATCGCTACTCATGCGCAATACAAGTCTCTGAACGCTACCTACGGAATCTTTATATTTATCAGTATAAAAATGGCTAGTTCAGCCACTACTATACACATCCACAAACTTTTAGTAAAGACAAATTCTCGATAGATTTTTCTATGATCACGATGGGAGAAGCTCAACTTCGACGAAGCAGACGTTTGGTAGGCCACCTTCCCGAAATTAGCGAAACATTCGCCGAGTGTTTCATTTGTCTTGAGAAAATGGAACTGTGTTTTCCTGTGGTGGTACGATTGCCATGTTGCCAAAACTTCTGCCACAGACAAGAGCTAGACAGGTGGCTAGACACCAATAACAGCTGTCCCCTTTGCAGAGCGGTTATTGAAGTTGAGCAGCCAAATGTCCCTCAAGATGAAGCTTGAAACGTGTGGTGGATCCTGTCACCTTTAAAGCGTATCCCTTTGGCTACGAACGTTTGACAGATCAGGACATCAAGATAGTGAACACGTTGGTTGATTTATGAAAGCAATTAGATAAAGTGTTGGGGCAAGTGACCATCAGGGTTCGCACATGTCCCACGTGTAAAATGAGGTCTTTGTGTATTTAAAAAGAGACGGTTAATTGAAAAATCATATTTGGTCTCCTTTTTTTTTACGAGAAAATATCATTTTCATTACGAAAGACGTCTTTCAAGCGAGACTTGATCTTTTAAGGGGTAACTAATTTGCATAAAAATGGTCTGAATTGAAAACGTGACCTGTGAAGACTCGTGAATTTATGTTAGAATGACAAAACTAATTTGCATAAAAATGGTCTGAAGGAGCCAATACAACAACCCTTACAGAATAAAGTTCGGATCCCAAACGATGCCACATCCTTCTTTCTTAGCGTCGATAAACATCGGCCCAATTTTCAACAGTACCGGGTGATCCACCTAGAAGCTCCCATGAAAACGCCTAAAACACCAAAAACTGGATACTTATCGTTGAAAAGGTCCTTGTGTTCTTTTCGATCGCACGAATAAAATTCATCCTTTCCTCCATTTAACGTTGACAGCTAACAAAGTTAGTTGTTTGCACTATCTACAGAGAAACACGTTGTGTCTTGCAGATTTCGGGCATTTGAAAAGACGTAAAAGTTACTTGTACAACTTTGTATCACAGTTCCTTACAGAAAATCTTTGTATACTTGAACCGTTCTTTTCATGTAGATTTGCATATAGAACTATGGACTTTGAACGAATATTTTAAACTATCGATGACTCAAAGTTTAGGCGAAGGATTTGACGTGCGTCAATCATTCACAGCCGTTCCGCCTGAATTGAATTTCTTAATCGAGTTAAGACACTTGCGGTTTATAGAGGAGTATAGACGTGAGAACAGTGAGTCAGTAACACAATACGCCATAATGGTATGTTTCGCTTATATCTTCTCTTGAAGTTGTCAGGTATGACTGCTTGCTCCACTGTTTTTCCTTAACGTTTCAACCTCCTCTGATAAGCGTAGAAAATTAAAAAGAAAAGTCATTTCAACTCGTGTTTAAACCTGTTATATTTTTCACTTTTTCTCTTTTGGCTACTCTTGTTACACAATTGTCCTCTGGCTAGAAATACATAGTGCCTTTTTGAGATTTTTTTTCTGTTATCTAATGCAGTAACCTCTGCTGTAACTGCACATAATATCATGTAAGTGTCTTTAATCCAACTTTCCATGATCTTAGCGACTCTAGCTACTATAATACGAAATTTGTCTAACATGTTCTTTGCGCTGCGAAAGTTTGATCTAAAGGAAGACAAGCTAGAACTATAATATCATAATTAAAACTTGATGACGAAGAGAGACTTATGATTCAATTATGAAGAAATTTGTAAAAAAATTGAGATAATACCTGGATTTCATTTTCAGAAATCAATTCCAAACATCAATCAAGTTTTGTTTTTTAGTTTAAAAGTTGAGTTGATATTGTTATTGGCCATATTAAAGAGGTTGAAAAGTCTTCAGTAGATGGTTTCCCTTATGTTTGCAAATAATTGAATTTACTGGAAGGTGAAGTTGTCTAACAAGTTAACAAGAAAAACAACAATAAATTTTATTGATGTGTTAAAAAGTTTTCATTTTACTGTCTACTGGCAAGTCTTTGCATCATATTTCAACCCAACCATTTTCCACAACTTGTGAACACCATTACGAAATAATTAGTGAGGGTAATGGAAAATTTGTGACGCATACAACATGTTTGAAACGCCATGTCCAGAATAAGTTAACAGGATCGAGGAGGTTGTATGTGGGAGTAGGCTCGCTTGTTTGTGTCAGTAATTTGCTTATCACTCCTGTTACCCATGTTTTGATGACGTTGGGCTGTCAGGGCAAAAGAACTGAGGATTTTGGCAGACAAAGTGACTTTTTTACACCTGGAAACTTTCATTGTGAAAAGCCATACATGTGCCTGGTAACTCATTCCTATTCTGATAAACTAGTTTGAAGAAGGATACAATATTTTGTTTAATAAATTTGATGCATAGGCTGTGCATAAAACTTAAATTTGACTGTACTTTTAAAGCTAACATCAATTCCTACGCATAATGAAATGTTAGTGGGATCAGAGGAGAAATTAATGTGCCATACATCTGGAAGATCTCATGTAATTATTTTAACTACATGAATACTAACTGATACTAGGAGATCTAAAAATATTCAATAAAAATAGAAAATTTGGTTGAAAAATTAGAGTTCAACAAAGGCTGGATAAACAAGGTTCTTACAAAAAGAAACCTGCACTAATGAAAAAGCTAACCAAACTTCTCACAACACCTGTCTGTACCTGTACAGCACGTAGTAAAGTTAATTGAAGTAATCGTAATCTCAGTTTTACGTTGGAAACACATGTGCATGCAGATTTCTCATAAACCTGTAGTTCAAGCTTGCCATGACTTGAAAATTTTGGGGCACACCTCAAAAGGAGAAAAAATAGATTTCAAGTTTCTATTTATTCAGTTTAGGTT